TATGTCTCTGGACGTTATAGTCATCATAGAATGTGTTTAGAACTATATTTTCACAGAAATCATCAACATGTTTGGTAGTATGTAATGCAATTGTTGCTAATCAATACAAACTTAACTGTCCGACTCTTGTCTTTCATGGGCGGCCCTCAGCTTTCTTGATGAAAGTGGACAACCAGGTCGGTACGATCTTGAACCAACTTCTGCCAGTATGAGTTGTTGCTAATTAAACTTACCCTGCTCACCTCTCCTTTTTGATGGAGGGCCCGCAGCTTCCCTGGTGACGGCAGACAAGATGGCAAGTACAATCTCAAACCAAGTTCTGCCAGCATGCTACCCTCGGCATGAAGACTAGACACTTCATCAGTCTTTAAACACCTTGTCTGCAGACTTTCATACCCCATCTTACAGTAAATGCCCTTATGTCTGCAGCCAACATAGTCCGTTTCCACACGGAAGACACTGCTGATCATGGAGTTCCTGGGATGAAAGGACTGGGCAGTGAAGTCCTGCCACTTAGTCTCTAAAGATGTCACCCAGGAGAGAAATATTGGGCTGGACACAATGACCAGACAGAATACAATTCATATATCTGAATACATCTGGCACAAACACACATATTTATGATTTTTAGATAAACCCTGCAAGGACTGCCATAATCTGATCTGACAACCACTGACTCTCTGACTAGTTTACCTTATAAGCAGTGTTGGGACTAATCATTAGGCATTACGTAATGCGTTACAGTAACTATGATACTTTTACAGTAACTAGCACTGTAGCTAATTAGTTTGTATCAGTCAATAATGCGTTACTCATTACTACACACTAAACAGATTCATTATTCATGACTTACCATGTATAAATAAGGACTACAGTTTCCTGGTCTAAACACATGTCTCAGCAACATGCACGTGTAAGTGCACATGGTCCACAACTATACGCAACTTCAGCATGAACACAGAGGGGAGATGATGGTGCAGAGCCCAAAGGCTAAATGTTTCTGTAATTTACTCATTATTGCATGGGAACAAAGACTTTATAAACATTGGCAAGAATCTGCGATTTAAACAAGCTCTGTACATCATCCTAAAGGTATGTTCACACTGAATGCAAATTTTGTAGCCAGAGTGAAGGATCCCAATGTTATATTTATGTAGAGGTTGGATTTGGAGTAAAGGGGAGAGAAACTGAGTGAGATGACGGTGAAAAAAAATTATGACAATTATGGCTAATAGTGATATGACAAATGCTACCTCAAAATGAATCTCACATTGCATAAGAAAAGCCTGACACTGATCAGGATCTCCTTTAAACAGTTCTGGAAGTGAAAGACATGGCACTTGACAAATTGGTCTGAACGCAGGTGAATGATCGCTGACGTAGGCAGAGATGTAGGACCAGAAGTAGCGTGACTGTGAAGGTCATTAAGAACTCCTGCGTTCCTGACTCAAGCTGGGAAATACTGTTTTCTACTCCAGAACACCACTTTTCTTCTGCTGATGGACCCATGTTTGGCCAGATTATCTATCAAGCTCAAAACAATAGGATCCAGTATTCGAGGTGGACAAACAGATTTCACACAATCTTTATTGAGAACTGAACCGTACTGAACAGCGTCTAAGGCAAGAACCTAAGCAGGAGGAGACAACAGGTTAGTGACCACGTCTTTCTGGGTGTGGATGATAATGAATGTGTGAGTCACAAACCTGTTCTTATAGTTCAGTCTGTATCAGACAGTCGTCTGCCAACGCGATGAAGCAGGTGGTGCACAGAGAGTCCCAGAAGCATGGTCCCAGAATTTGATGTATCTGTGGTTTGACGACAGGCAGGGTATAACAGCCGAGCAGATGAAGGCAGGTAGGATAATACAGAGGGTGAAGCCAAAGTCGATTTCGGTGACGAGCTTAGTAGTCAGAGCCGGGAGGTCAGAGATCCAAAGAGTTGTTGAGGGGAATCCACAACGGAGTTGGGTAATTACAATACAGGAATGCTTAAATACTTCTCACCAATGGCTAAAAAATAATCTGGCAGCGATGACTGGTCTGAAGGCTTGTTAACGGTGGATCATCTAATCCCCCTTACTAATACAGGTGGATCAGTTGAGCAGGTAAGGAACTGGGCAGAGCTAAATATGTGTGTGAAATTAATGTTAATCCCTTGATTGTCCCACAATGGGGAACTTCACTCTCTGCATTTTAACCCATCCCCTTGAGGAGCAGTGAGCTGCCATTGTGCGGCACCCGGGGAGCAGTGTGGGGTTAAGGGTTTTGCTCAAAAACCCAGAGTGGAGGCTGTAGGGATCCAACCGGGTACTTGCAACTAGTGTAGTGCAATTTTTTGGCCCCGATACTGATACCCGATACCTGGCTGTGCAGTATTGGCCGATACCAATACCATGCCCATACCATCTGTTTGAAATTGATGTGCGTGTATATATAAAGAACTAAATACTACTTGGATGAAAAATAATTGCCATCATGGCTTTGTCAGGCTGCTGCCCATTTGTGAATCAGGAAAAATGTCATCCTGGAAAGAAACATCAGCTGTGCTGCTTCCATCAACACCCTTGTTTATAGATGTTGGAGATCGGCCTGTTTTCCAGTGNAAAGAGTTGTTGAGGGGAATCCACAACGGAGTTGGGTAATTACAATACAGGAATGCTTAAATACTTCTCACCAATGGCTAAAAAATAATCTGGCACCGGTGACTGGTCTGAAGGCTTGTAAAGGTGGATCATCTAATCCCCCTTAATAATACAGGTGGATCAGTTGAGCAGGTAGGGAACTGGGCAGAGCTAAATATGTGTGTGAAATTAATGTAAATCCCTTGATTGTCCCATACTGGTATCAGTATCAGTGCAACACTACTTGCAACCTTCTCAGCAAATAAGCGCACTGCTCTAATCACTAGGCCAACACTCATAAAAATTAGTAATTAGACAGTGCCAAGATCATGACAACTAAATATTTGATAGTGCCTATTTTCTGACATGCTTTTTAAAGTTGTATGCAATCTACTCGGTTTCCATTTTTATATATGTATAAACAAATTAACAGAATAAACGATTCCCTGCCAAAACATGTAAGGGACTAGTATGTGTTTTCTTTTTTCGGGGAGGTTATATTACAATTTATTTGTCTGTGTAAAATGTTATAAATAAAAAATAATAATAACATGATAATTAAAAAGAAAAAACAAACAAAGCTGTAGCTCAGCCAAAATAATGCTGCCATAGTCCTACGCCCTTCCTGTTAAATAGATTATATCAGACGTCTCACTACCCTTCAGTGTGTCAAATAACTGATTTAAACATTCCGGTACTGTTCATTAAAACACTGATCTTGGATTGAAACACATTTTTCAGTTGTTTTTCAAATAGAAAGTGCATTTAGAAATAAGTAAGCTTAGCCTTGGAACAAACATTATATGTTCTACAGAAATCATTGGTTTCTTTAAAACTGTGCTGCAGCCTTTGATAAAAGAATCTTTTCAAACAGTTTCAAACTGTTGTTTTTATACAATACTCTTATGTTTTGCTATCTTGCAGGAAATATGTTTGTCTTTTCATTGGGTGTCATCCATTACACTGTGGATGAGCTATTCTATATAATTACACTTCTCTGGTCTTATCATATACTGTATGAGATTGTGACAACTTATCAATAAAAATGACTATTACGTCTCCTTCACTCATATTTATTTAAGCCATACATCTCCATTAATTCACAGCATACCTTGAGAGAGAGAGAGAGAGTCGTTAGAGATGTCCCTCACATTTATGCATATGGAGTATGAAAGTTTTAATTTTAGATTAATTTCACGACAGGAAAAAAAATGAAAGGAGGTCAAAAAATTTTGGATGGACAATGTAATTGTTTTTGTGAAGATTGATAAATAAAAGCCGTTTTCGTTGCTTTGAAAACCAAGTCATAAAAGTGTGATAACAACAAGGGTGAGGTGGGCCAAAAATTATTCTGTAGGGCGAACAAGTGCCCATCTCAGTAAAGTCAACTGACCTTTCTCGCTTTTTAGTGATTTGATAGATTACCCCTTTCTTATGATTAAAATCATGATTATCATCCTGTGTGAAGACTGCGTCCTGGTATGGCTGTGCGCAGCCATACCAGGACGCAGCGCAGAGCGCATTTCAACACTCAATTTTAGGGAATTGGACTCTGCAGCATCTCTCGCTTCTTTTTTCTCCTTTTCACCTGAAACTGTCATTGTATAGTCCTTTTCTCTTTTTACTACCTCACTCTGCCTCAGCTGCCTTGCTGTAGCCCATATCAATATTAAGAATGTCAACCCAAACCATCTCAAACTGTCATCCAAGACATAGATTTTTAAGTTGGAACTCGGATTTCTATCACTTTATGAATAACTTCATAGTTCATATTGCGCAACAGAGTTGGCTCCACTGGTTTGCATATTGGTGCGTTATCGGCTAATCGCTCCAAGATACAGCGCATCATTTGGATAGCAGGGGTGGAGCGAGCAGCAGCCTGTCCCGGTAAGGGGAGGAGAGAACGGGGGCAGAGGCGGTTCTTCTCTCGGCTTATCGCTTTTTCGGCGCCGGAGAGTGTTGGGACCAGGGCTGGAGAAGACCGCGGGGGATAATCAGCGACAAGATCCAGTCCTGTGCACGGAGCCTCGTCAGGTCGAACGTGGCGCCGTGCGCTTTTCTAGGGGGGGCTGCACAACATTCCTGTGAAATATAACTGCTATTAATGGCATGTGGCTTGTAACTTTACTCCTGCTGTATTCTTTGCAAGAAGGTAAGCTGCAGATTCAAGTATTTACCATATCTGCATGTTATCTGCTGCTGAAATTGGCTGGTTGATAGATTTTTTTCTGGGCTTAAGAATTAATCACGGTTCTAAAGCAGCAATAGATATGTCCAACCAAACTTCAATTTACTGTTGTAACAAAATTTGTAACTTTTTTCTTTTCTTTTTGAGGACATTCCTCCTTTGAGTAGCCACACATTTCTCATAAACTGCTCTTGGAATAACGTCTGGATGCCCCCCATGGGAATCAATCTTATGAAGCGTAATTAAATCACACAGATCACACTATAGATATAAAATCCAAAGCAACGTGGTCGACAACAGCAGATGGATATTTAAAGTTGCCCACAAACTAAATTATTGCTACAACCAGTGGAAAAGCAGCAGCATTAGCATTATTTTGCATGATGAATATGTGGATGTGGCGTGAATATGGAGGCTGTTGAATAGGAGGAGAGGCTGATAGGATCTGTGATGATAAAGAGCGCTGATGCTGGTCGCAGCTGAAGGGCTGTTTGGTGTGAAAAGTCCGAGTAGATATGATAGTATAAAGCTTTTGCTGTCTTTTTTCTGACCAAACAAGATCTTAGAGAGTGAGAGTTTGTGAATGTGTGGGTGTGAGCGAGAGTTGTGTATTAAGGGATATAGAAGGCACGGGATGGAGTTTTAATGTTAAATCCCATTTTCCCTCTATCTAATTTTTTGATTTCTGTATTTAAGAGTAAAAAATATTTATATGACTTTGAAGATCTGAATAATTCTCGTGATTGCAGAGTAACAAGGGATCAATTGTTTTTTTTTTTTTTAAAGAGATACAAGTTTTTCAGAGATTGTTTTCCAGTGAAATGTTTTGAAACGCAAAAATCGATGTATTTATAGTTGGTTTTCCTTTGCTAAAATGTCGGAGTGACTCGGTTGTTATCATCCCTGCTCTAATTATTCATCCACCATTTTCTGTGCCACCACATTCTACTGATTGGCCTTGCTCTAAATACTGCGGCTACGAGATAATTAGTCGTTTTTCATGCCTTTATGAAACTAAAACATGTCATTATTTAAGTATGATTTAGCATGAAAACTGATAATAAAAAAGGGGGAAAAAAGCAAATCAGAATAATCTTAATTTCCTTTTACTGCCCTTTACGCATGACAACGAATCTTAACACGTAAAGGTGATAATTAATTTTCAAAAAGTTTTTTTTTATATATATAGGGCCTATACATAAAAAGGTTTGTATTTTATGTTATGGTATTGTCGCTGGCCTTGGATGTGCCCCTGCCAGGGCACACCTGCGGTGGGAGACTTCTGTTTTTGTAACATCTAATTGGATTACAGGGTCTATTTCGAATATACTTACTGTAAAAACCCCTGTCCTGTGAATGAACAAAATATATGGTGTGTTTGTGAGTGTGTTTTTAGATGCCCCTCTGAATGAGTGTGTGTGTGTGTGTGTGTGTGTGTGTGTGCGTGGTGAAGGGAGGAGGGTTCAGGGATGCGAGCAGCCAGTGGAGCGGAAAGAGTGCTTGAGATGGGAGAGATGTAGATAACGCAGTGGAAAACAAACTTCAAATGTTCCTTTGCATTGTGAGATCCGCGCTCCGTTCCCTTTGCATGATACAAACATCTCATACCTTTTTTTTTTTATATATATATATTCATTTAGAATATTTTTCCCTTTAACAACAAAAGACAAAAGTCTAATGCGTGCGTTTTAGTACTGCGTATTTTCCAGGCAGTGCCGCGCCACTGTGTACAGCTTATTACCGTTTGCTTGACTCTTGTGGGTTTTTTTAATAGTAGAATCGATTATATATGCTTATAAAAAAGCTCAGTTTATGTTTTGATTATCTACCTATCACTGATAAGCGTTTGGTGCTGTGTAGGCTGGATACCAGCACACCTGCACCCATGTCCGAGGAGAGGAGATGGAGATGCAAAAATTGACAGATGTTAGTATGGGAACAGAGGAGGGATACACCGATTCTTCTTTATCATGATCCGGAGGGCTGCTGGTCATATTATGGGAATGAAACAGAGTCGTGTGGAGTTCAGGAATGTATAGGACTTCTCTCTCAGGCCTGTCGGATCGGATCTGGGCCTGAGGAAGTGGGTGTAAATGATTTTACAATAAAACGATCTAAGAAACAACAGGGGAATCAGACCCATCCAAGTTAAGCTTTCCAAAACCCCAGCTATTATGCAGAAATGTTAAAAGAAAACGCCTTGTGGGGGTTCAGCTTCACATCGTTTTCCCTAAGAGGAAGGAGGCAGGAGGGGTGCATTCTCTAAAATACATATGCACAGCTTTAAGTATAAGTGAAGCATGACTTGAATATTAAACCTGACGTATCCTGGAAAATCCGTAGTGATTTATCGTCTCTCGACGAAGAAGGCATATTTTCATGAGTTTAGAATGGCACCAATAAAATGAAAGAGATGGGGGAGAGGTGTGGTTTAAGGTGATGATTGCCCCCTCAATTTACTAACCCCTCATACGGGCAGCCTGAAACTTGTATTGCACAAACGTCAGATTAAGAGAAGAGATTTTAGGTTTCAAAGATAAGTTGCATTTCTTAATTGTCATTTATTTGTTAAGATTTTCAGCTGCCCATATTTGACAACCACTTAAAAACTGTAGAGTTGTCCTCATTTGTTACTGTTGGAACTATACTGTTGTTTATATAACATTTGAAAATATGGATCAAAGGTCTGGGAACCCAAATGAACTAAAATTATTTTATTTATAACGAGTTTTAGACAGACAGACAGACAGACAGGACATTTATATGGGTAGCCATGGTCGCACCACTAACCCTTCTGTAGCGCTACTGCAGCATGGTGCGAGGAGTCAGATGTCTCCATCTGCACCCGCCCTCATCAAGGATTTAAAGACAGGTGCGTACCGGTAAATTCAACGTCACCCACCTAGTATTTTGTTTCAATGCTTCAAATGTCTCCAGTAACTTTTATCTTTTACGTAAGTGCCACATAGTCAAGTTTGATTTAAGCGCATATGTCAGTGATTTTACGTATTCACCTCTAGACCCCTTGGCTTGGCACACGAATGAACGCACGACTCGTTCATTCTTTGTATCTTAATACGTAGTCAGTTGATATTGAAACGCACTCACTTTATTGGCCATTTGTCGTGGAGAACAGCTTCGAGGGTAAAACAGCCTTTTCAGGCGTTTACTTGTAAGCAAAACAAGTAATATTGATAAAACTGACTTGACAAATGTGAGCGCACAAAAACTGGACGCTGGTTGGTTGAGTTTACATTCTTGCGCAGTAAAATGCCTTTACGCGCCTTGCTGCCAAAACACTTTCACGGAAATATATGCTTTTTAGAATATGATGTTTTTTTTTTGTTTTTTTTTTTTTTTTGTAGATGACGTACAGAGTAATTAAACCTGACCGCAGTCAACAGGTTTGAAGTCCGGGCAGCGGCGGTCTCAGGTTGCACCAATGCGCTCTCCTTTTACGCACAGGCGGTAACATCTGTAAAACTACTACTTGAGGATGTGGATTCTCAATGCTGAGACGAAAACTGTACAAACTGTGTCTGCTCCATTCTTTTGCACCTGTTTGCGCATGTATTTGCTGCGAATTATTTTGAGCTTCAATTTTTTTCCGAGGAAAAAAGAGAATTTCTTTTAACGTTTGCTGACATAGAGAGAGAAATTCCCACTGAGACTTTGGGCTACAGTATACCAATCCAAAATCATATATTATTAATGTGCATTTTTAAATATTCCTCATGCCTATCTGAAAAAGAATAAATATGCATTTATGAATATACAAATTTAATAAATATGAACTGGTCGCACAAATCAAAATATGTTAAAATCTGTAAGTAGTGCTCCTTAATTTATACAATAGGTACAGTTCTGCTGCACCACTGGCAGCAAAACAGACCATCAGCATGATGCTGCCAACACCTTGTTTAATAGTTTATACAGTGCTTTGGAAAACCTGGACTGATTGCTACTTTGCCCCAAAAGCTCAATATTTGTTTACTCTGACTACAATGTTTTTTCTTTTTCATAAAAAAAGCATTTGGTTTGTCCTTGTGGGCACCTTTAAATGTCAGTCGTGCTTGAAATGTCTTCGGAGCAAGCCTATATTTTTGACTGGCACCCTCTTTGTTAAAGTTTGTGTGAAACTGGTTTCAATGTGGACTTTGAAATTGTCATTCCAGAAGCTATTAGTCAAGGGTTACCTCAACCTGTTGAGGTTCCCCTTGCTTCTAGAACTTTTTATGGGAAACCTGGACATAGCTGGGTATTGCAAAAGTACAAGGATAGAACAGAGAAATAAAACTGGTTTCGAAATGATAAGGTCAGTTAACATTTACCTTTGTGGTCGCACTTGACCAACTGTGCTATAAAAATTTCTCTAATATCCAACTACAATCATGGCTAACCAGCTTAACAACTCAAGTGTGTGATTTATCTCCTTTTTAACTACATTCTATTAAGGTTTCATTAATATGAAAATCTGTGCCGCTATTCATATCCAATATTAATATTGCTTTTATGGCAGACAACTAATATTTACTAATATCATATATTACATATTCCAATAAAATAAACTTACCACTGTGCTGACATTGCTTCTCTTTTTTAAACACCAAAAATCCTGTCACAATCAATGTCACATGACCAAACAAATACCACAAAACAAATCCCCTACCTAAGAAAAACTGCAAATAAATAAGAATAAATATACATTGTAATATGTGTCCTGTTTTACTTATTAAACTTAGATCGATATGCATAAAAATTGACCAAAATTTTGATATTCATCCTGATCTATCATGCATTTCTACTTTCCGTAAACAGCTGTGCCAGTTCTTACACACACAAACACACACCCACACCTTTTTTTTTTAAGTTTAGTTAACATAACAATCTGTCATTTAAATGTCAGAAACTATATTGAGGAAAAGAGGCCCAGGGTCATCAGATAGTTTATTCCATTAACATGCTAAGTTTTTTCTAATGTATTGTAGTTAGATTTTGATATGATTCAAGTATGTTGCTGTCATAGAGAAAAAGCTATGGTGTTTTTTTTTTGTCTGATTTTATTCCAGCCATATTTCCTTAATTAAAATACAGTAGAAACCAACATTTGTAAGCTCAATGCATGTACCCAAAAACATCAATACCAATAAAGTAAGTGGAGCATCTCCACAGATGTTTTTTTCAGGTCTATGTATATTGGACTTTGTTTTGAATCTGGGAGGATTAGGAAAAACACTAAATAAGAATTGTGCAGCAAATCTTTCTATGCCTTTTGTTGTTCGTATGGCATCCGTGCATATAAACAATGTATGTAAACTTCTTAGCACAACTGAAGCTGCATAGTGTACTACATCAAAAAACTTGCATATAACTTTCTATTAAAGAGATTGGAATGGCCTTTATGTGACTTTGTCTGGGAATGTTTAAAGAAAAAGAAGAGTTGAAAAGGCAGAGGGATTTATTGCCCTGTTTTCTATGGACAGGACGGTGATGGTGTGAATTTCAGTCTGTGTGCATCTCTGCATGTGTGTCTGAGTGAATCTAGATGAGACAGAAAAAGCTGCATTATGCATAGAGGTTCACCATAGGCAATATCCTTGCCTCTGTAAGCATACATATTCATAATCCATTTTCATATCCACAGCAAAAATGTGGTGGTGGTGGTGGTGGGGGAAATATATTGAAGCGCACGATACAAAAAATGTAACTACAAAATTGCCTCAAAAACTAGAAACACAAAAAATAGGTTAATCATTCATCTGACAAAGAAATCTTTTTCTTTTGGTTTCAAATAGAATAACATTGATATTATTCACTGTAATAAGAGAATCAAGCCTCGAAGGACAGATTCATAGTGCAGTACTTGAATGAATAAGGACTGCTCATTGTTGTTTATTAATCTACAGGAGGTGGAGCAAAAATAAAGCCTGGGACACTTAATGGACTTAGAAATAGCTGGGATTAAATGCATCCTAAATAAAAAGGAATTTACCCTCAAACTGGTACAAGAAACCGACTGGCTTTTAAATATTTAAAACATTGTACCATCATTTCTTAAACTTTGTAGCAAATTTTAAATTGCGCTTAAACTTTTTTTAATAAGATACAGGGAATACATTTTTTTTTGTTGTGTAGATGAATAATGGCAATAAATTCTATGAAACTGACTGAACTCTTCCTTCAGGAGTATAGAAAGGGATATTTGGAGCCTTTTCATTTACCATTTCTAAGAGTTTCCAACAGGGTCATGGGAGGCTGATGCTTATCTCCAGTTGTATGTGGGCGAAAGGCAATTTTACACCCTTGGTGGGTTATTTCCAAAAGCAGTTCACCCATATTTTGTTTTCTTTCACTCTTTTGTCATTTTGAAACTGACAACAGGGGCAGGTCATTGTCATTGATGTTTTCTGATGGCTTCCTCCCTATTTACCTACAGTACTTTTAGCGTCACTCAGAGGTGTTGCTCTGCATCACACTGTAGTGCTCTCCGTGGTGCTGAAAGTGCAGACAGGTTTCCCTCAGAGCCTTTGAAAATGACTGACACGGAATCAAACAGCACAATGGATTGAACTTGACCTAAATTCCTATTTTAGAATAGCTGCTATAACATCATCTCTTTATCTGATTGTCATCTTTACCTTGCACGTGCACACATACTTTGACGGTACTATTTAGATGCATCCATGCAGTCAATATATTTTTTCTTTATCTTTGTACTTCCATGCCTTTGCTGCTGGTTTTGTTTGACATCAAAAGTGAGGTGCTGGTTAAACAATAACATCTCCATCCTTTTGACATCATCTGTCTAAAAAAAAAAACAAAAAAAACTGAACAAACAAATATGAATGCGTTAACTTTTTCAACTTGTATAAAAACATTTTCTACCTTTTCTTTGTTATTCATATATTAAGTATCTCATTTTATTTATTTAACTATTAATGTGTGTTTCCCTTCTAGATAGAATGAACTGAAAATTAACAGTGTCAGTGAAAAGGAACACATGTATTGTGAATGCAAATGCCATGCAGAAAGAACCCACACTAAAACCATGCAAACAACTGCATCAACATTAAGCTACAGATTTTTTGAGTGTTGGTTTGCGCTCAGATCTTAAAAAAAAAAAAAAAAAAAAAAAAA